CACAATTCATTGATACATTATTGGTGGAATGTCAGAATTCACGATGAACAATTGAAGGCTTGAAGATAACAACAAGGAAGCATGTTTTCTGCATATTTTCACTTGAGTAAAAGCTATTTCAATTTATCTCGATTAGCAGTATAATGCGACCATAACAATAAGCCAACCTTTCATTTTGTTTTCTATATAATATTTTTATCAACAAGAAGTTAAGGTCACACATCTCGAAGTTAATTTCTTTGTGGATTATGTTGGGAACATTGTCACTTGAAGTAAGTCATTTAAAACTTAAACGCGTAGTCTGGATTCTTTTCCTTGATAGCAAGCGCTCTTTCCAAGCAATGGCTCCCTTCTTCATCTTTCTTCAATTTGACCAAGAGATGTCCAAGATTGTTTAAAATAATGGCAATATTTGGATGGCTTCCATCTAATGCTTCTTCGTTGATTGCCAGTGCTCTTTCAAAGTAGGCTTTGGCTTGTTCGTATTCATCAAGACTTTCAGAGAGTTTTCCAAGGTTGTTCAGAGTCGTAGCAAAATCAGGATGAAGTACACCTAATGATTTTTCATTGATAGCTAATGCTCTTTCTAAATTCAGTTTGGCTAGTTCGTTATCTCCCTGTTCCAGCTGAAGTTGTCCCAGGCCATTTAATGCCCTTGCTACTCGTGGATGGTCTTCACCATATGCAGCTTCAAGGATTGTAAGTGACCTTTCAAAAGAATCTTTGGCTTCCTCGTTGATGCCCAAAGCATGCAGTGAAAGGCCCAGTTTATAAAAGCAAATTCCTATATAAGGATGGGTTTTGTCAAAAACTGATTTGTAAATAGTTATTGCTCTTTCTATACACTCCTTTGATTCTTTATATTCCCCAATGTCTCTCAATACTACTCCCAGATGAGATAGTATTGCACCCACATAGCTGTGATTGTTTCCATACGTGCTTTCGGCGATTGCAAGTGCTTTTTCGTGACAGCCCTTTGCTTCTTTGTAACTTCCAAGATAACTCAATGCTGATCCTAGATCACTTAAACTTGTAGCCACATCAGGGTGGTTGTCTCCGTACATGCTATTGTAGATGGCAAGTGCTTTTTCATGATGCTCTTTTGCTTCTTTGTAACTTCCAAGATCACTCAGTGCTGATCCTAGATTACTTAAACTTGAAGCCACTGAAGGGTGATTGTCTGCGTACGTGCTTTTTCTTATGGAAAGTGCTTTTTCATGATACTCCTTTGCTTCTTTGTAACTTCCAAGATTACTCAATGCTAATCCTAGATGACTTAAATTTGTAGCCACTTCGGGGTGATTGTTTCCGTACGTGCTTTTTCTTATGGCAAGTGCTTTTTCGTGATACTCCTTTGCTTCTTTGTAACTTCCAAGATTACTCAATGCTAATCCTAGATGACTTAAATTTGTAGCCACTTCGGGGTGATTGTTTCCGTACGTGCTTTTTCTTATGGCAAGTGCTTTTTCGTGATACTCCTTTGCTTCTTTGTAACTTCCAAGATTACTCAATGCTAATCCTAGATGACTTAAACTTGTAGCCACTTCAGGGTGATTGTTTCCGTACGTGCTTTTTCTTATGGCAAGTGCTTTTTCGTAATACTCCTTTGCTTCTTTGTAATTTCCAAGATTACTCAATGCTGATCCTAGATCAC